GAGAGAGAGAGAGAGAGAGAAAGAGAGAGAGAGAGAGAGAAAAAGAGAGAGAGAGAGAGAGAGACAGAGACATAGACAGCGAGAGAGGGAGATGGAGAGAGAGAGAGAGAGAGAGAGAGATAGAGAGAGAGAGAGATAGAGAGAGAGAGGACTCCCCTACAAAGGAAGGTGACGAGAGAGACCGGATGGAAGTCTGATTCGACTTTTGACAGGCGCCAGGCATTTTGGGAAGTGCAACGTGTGTTACTGTATAATAAAGATCGCTTTTTCCTGTGACTCGTCGGTTTGCATATCATTACGAACACTGCCATCCACGAACTCTACACGACATCCCACGCTACACAATGTTGTACACTACGCTAGCACAAACACTATCTCTCATCATTGATGACACCCGTGATGTGCGGCAATTTATATAATAAAACATAATATGATAAACATATCATAGCCCAAACCTCCTGTCAAATTGCCAAATTTCCTGTCAAACCTCATAATAGCGTTTAAGTTGCGTTTAGTTTGTCATGCGATGCAACAGACATTACTGTTGGTGTGTTGATATATGATGAGGCCATTACTAGTTCGTCTGAATGCTATCTATCTGTATTGTGATTATGTAGGGGAATAGGATTTTGGCCAAGGGTGATTGAATGTTAAAGTTAAAGGAGCACATAATTCCAGGTCCTTGCATATTTTTAGTTAAAATAGATTTTAATTACGTAACGTTACATAAAAATTCCTTTGTTCAATATTCATTAGAAATACATTTAAAAAATGTTTTAAAACTAAAGGATACCATTTGGTTGCAACGACGGTAGCGCCACTACGACCACATCGACTGACAAGCGCACAACTTTTCGACTGCAGGGTACAGATTGAGGGTGTTCCTTATTTATTAATTTTAGAGAAGGATTGCAATATCTTATAAACCACTCTTAGTTTCAGTTATATGAACGAATTTGTCCTAAAATAAAAATCGTTTCGTTAAATAGCAGTTAGGTATAAATATAATTGCACTTTTGTGATTAGCTGCCCTCGGTCTGCAACGTGCAAAATAAAATCAGCAGAAGCGCAACTTTGTCAGGTTGGCAGCAAAATTGTGAAATGTTATGTTAGTGGTCAGAAATAAAGATCTACCCATCGAAAGACTACCCATCGAACGACAATGGACCCCATAAATACATAATACATAATACAAATACAGAATAAAATTATGTTCAATATCTCACCTCTGTTACTTCTGCCCCAGCTCTACAGACACTGTATAGACTGTATACTATAATGATCCTTTACGCGTGATTAAATTGAATTTAACTATGCATAGCTTCATGAACCAGCAATCAGGGGGGACCAAAAATAATACTTGCACTTATTCACTATTATACCATCACCATAAGCCAGTGGAGTAGCCACGATTAAGTCTAAGGGGGGGGGGGTGCATGTTGTTGGCATGTTTTATCGACTTGAAACAGTCCTGCTGGTTTAAGTAAGGTAGCCTTCTAAATCTTAGGGGGGGGGGGCGACCGCCCCCATCGCTCCCCCCCCCCAGCTACGCCACTGCCATAAGCGTAATCACTCACCTCTGCCATCTTGAATTCGTATTTTTGATCGGAGCTTAGCTTGCTGGAGATGAAACTGAAAGTATATAACGCACGAATTTAAATCCAAAATGCTCCTGATTGGATTAAAAATGCATTATACAAATTGAAATTATCAGAAAAATATGCAAAAGGCATCTACGCAAAGTAATATGGTTATTTAAAGGGGAATATAGTTAAGTTGGATGCAATTTAATCAATTTATTATTATATATTATACTAATGTAAATTATTATAATGAATTAACAATACAAATATCACACAAATCCTAAACAGAAGTTTGTAGGCAATGGCTCACATAGCAGGAAAATTACTCGGCTCCATTTCTCAATATATCACCTAGTGTCGCAATGTGACAGTGCTCGTCTGAGGTCTGTGCTAGTGGAAGATAGGGGGGGGGGCTGTTGGAGTAGGCAATTGAGAGAAGGAAGGTAGGTAGAGTAGAATATGGTTCATATGGTTTTTGATATTGAACATAACCGTGTTTGTATGTTTTTTGCACACTAATTATAAAAATGAAAATTGCCACGAGATGGCCGCTGCAACTTAGACAAATATACCAGCAGTCATCATGCATCATTGTGATTTCGTGACGGTTTAATTTGGTAAATCAGGAAATTAGGTGTTGATCACAATGCAAAAAGTGGCAATGGATTTGCATGTTACTGCATGGCCAGCTGCGAGTAAATAATGCAAGCAGCAAGGACACGTACATTAAAAAAACAAACCAGGACGTACACCGGGTGCCCTGGTATATATAGAAATTAAGGGGTGGAATTTCTCTCATACAAACATACTTATGCAGCTTAAATCGTGTTCAACTAACGTTGCTTTTGAAATTTAACTGTGAAATTGTAGCCTTTCAGCACCAAACATGTATATGGGCGCAACTATCAAAAGCACTTCAATCCTCTGTAAACAGCAAATCAATGTTTAACCCTTTCCTGAGGAGCAAAAGATCACCAAGCATGTGGTGACTATTCATGCCATAAGAAATGTGCACAATTCTTAAAATCTGCCAATTTTGCACCACTGCATGTCTACTAAGTTAGATTGGTTTCTCATAAAGAGGTCTGGAGAGTTTACCTATTGTCGGGAAAGTTTCACGAACACAGATGAGTCCAGGTGAAAAAATGGCTTTATTATAACAAATTAGTACCTTTTCCTCCTGATGCTCCCATTCTTTATACTGATCTGCTTCCCTTGCTCGTTGCTCCATTTGCTGAAACACATCAGTACGATTTGCTCATATATTATTATACCAATAATCATCAACGCAGTTATTCGTATTACCATCATTTATCATTTTTTGCATTTGATACCAGAACAGGGATATTTTAGACTGCGTAATGACACAATCTACCAGTAGAGAGAAACACTACACTATATTGAAGCTCGATTGTTCAGTTTTGTCAGGTGACCTTCAGTTGGTTTAGAACAAATCAGCACATTTACATTTCAACTCATGGGGATCTGGGGATGGGAATTTCACAAGTTCAACACATCAAGATAACTAGAACTACTAGCAAATGCTAAGCAAAATTCAGGCTAAAAGCAATCACTTACTTTAACTATGCAACCAGACTGGCATGTAGCTGTTAATATATATAAGTAATTTACATATTTATATCAAAGCAAAAACAGCAGTTACATTTTGGGCCCCTACACGGATGGTCTGAGGAAGTAATTCTTTCAGGGAGTCTAAGCAACTTTTGTATTCGTAAGCTACTCTAAAAATCATTTCCTGCAATCTGAAGCCTTCAAATCTGGACGAAAGGTGAACAAAGATCATGAATGAAGTGTTCGATTATTTTTGCAGACAGCAAAAGACCCTGCAGGTAGCCCGGGGCCCTGGGCAGCCATTTAGTTCACCTATGTCATTGGCTGATACTACCCCTCCAAATGTCAAACATATATGACTAGGTGAAAAGGTTCACATTTTTTATGCTAATCTTATTGTTGTACAATGCCACACCAAAGGTTGCATCCTGACAACAGTATGAGCACAAAATCAAGAACATGACAGCATCACACCAAAATTTATTTCTGCATCACATGTGAGACAACAGTGTGTGTTAAAATTTATTTGCCACTAAGAATTTAATGTATTTAAAATACATGTTATCTTAAGAAATGGGTTAATATCAAGCCTTACATGTGTGTGTCAACTACCATCTATAAAGAAACAAGATATGCCACTAAGTACCATTTCTTCGTCCCTCTGCAGAAGTTCTTGCTCTCGCTGTAGTCGCCTCTCTTTGACCTTCTCCAGTTCTATCTGAGGAATAAAAATGCAGCCATTTACAGACATGCTACATTGACAGCAACACATACAGATATACCATTACCAATGCACCAACAAATTGCTGGTTTTGTGTGAAACTACGATAATTAAAATTGAGAAAAAACGAGGGTTAGACAGATGCCTCACGACAATGTGAATAAATTCTCTTCAAATTCTAGCATTTTTGTAGTTGATGCAGTGCTGGCATTGCTAGTTTAAACTTATATAGTATTTTTCGTCAAGTTCTTCTTATTTGTGCAGTCAGCCATTATTGAATTAACTAGTAACTATAAATAGATTTGGGTATTTGTACATGCAATTGGCATAGCAAGCGATATCTTATGTATTTAATAAACAATTTATTCATATATTTGATTCCACCAACCTTATTGGCTTCCTGACTTTTTAACCCCATCTTCTGCAACTCATGTTTTGGCAGGTCAGCTTTTCCCTCTTTCTCGAGTTTTTGATGCCATACAAATGTTTCAAGGAGATTGGCATCACCGAATGGATTATCAGTGTTTGTGTAACCCTAGACAGATAAATTAAAATCAGAGCAAAAACTAACTTTAATATCACTGCCATACACTACCTGGCTCAATTTATTAGCTACCTGCAATTTGGATTAGTAGCTATACCAGGTGTTTGATAATATCATTAAATATCACATTCCACTGCCCTTGACAGCCAATAGCAATTTGATGTGATAGAGCTTGTCAGAATAAAAAAAAGTAGTATTGTAAAATAAGGTATCACCCAACATCATATGAATGTATATAACTGATAAAATGTAATCACTATCTGAGAATATACAGGGTTCTGGTTTTAAACTTTGTACACATAGGAAAAGTTCGATTCTTGTGTAAATTTCCAATGTGAGCACTGAATTAATTCACATATAACGAAAAGCAATTACACAGATTCCAAAATTCATGGAGTTTTTTTATGGATTCATCATGTTTTCTTACAATTTTATATACATTTATGATGATTTTTATGAAACTTTTTATCCCTGTGATTGACCTCTGATGCCAATTACTCACCAGGTAATCTTTGTCCCATCCCATTTCAAGCCTTCTCTTTTTTTCTTTAGCTTCCTGAACATAAAACACACACTACTCATTAAATGTCACAAAAGAGACTCCACACACCTCTAAAATTATTAATTAAAATTATTAAATAAAATTTATGATATCACTATTTTTCTATCATGTTGGGTGTTAGACCTAAAGGAAATCAAATGATATCAGGACTATCTTGCTTTGTAAACATGGTTAAAAGACAGAATTAACAAGATCACCTTCTTAGCAAGTCGCCTAGCTCGTTTCTCCTCTGGTGTCTCCAGTGCTTTCATTCGTGCCTTCCTTCGTCTGCAAAGGTAGGTAAACAAGTTATGATAATAAATTTCTGAGAATAAAAGTGTTTAAAGCCGTACAATGCGCATCCAAACGCTAATTTCTCCAGTACTAGACTAGCAAATACTTTGTGTCATGCATAATCACACTACCTTATGACAAAATAAACTCTAGTTCTTCCCATTTCACTGCGCGTTGTCTTATAAAAGGTATTTGAAAATACCTCCAATGTTGTTCAAATTCTCCGATGTTGTTGACAGTTTCCCCAAGGAACCATGCAGCGGTGCTACGGTACAGCGGTACGGGTGTAGCAAAGATAAAAACATGTGACGTCACCCTAACCACTTCGCGGCTAAATTGTTTGGCAAACAAGCCGGCGTTAGCGCCAGAATGCCAGTTTTCTCACCTCTTTCTTGTGGGTTTTAAGCAAACGTGCAGTGAAATGGGAGCAACTAGAGTTTATTTTGTCATAAGGTAGTGTGATTATGCATGCCATGAAGTATTTGCTAGTCTAGTACTGGAGAAATTAGCGTTTGGATGCGCATTGTGCGGCTTTAATGTCTACGTAGGACGAACAAGCTCGTGAACAATAAAACACATCACTGCTACACACCGTCTCTCCTCCTTTGATATCTGCACAACAGCACCACCTAGTGGCACTTTTGCAACGGGCTTCTCCTCACTGCTTTCACAAGATGGTGAATCGCTCCCTCCTCCCGATGAATCAGTATTAGATGACGATTCCCTCTGATGTTTATTTCGAGCGTGCGACCTGTTATACAAAAAAAACAGTGCATGCAAAACATTCACAAAATATGTTCAATAAATCTAACCTTTGAGAAGAAATAGAGCCATTAAGAGTATAATTATGTACAGGCTTGTTTTTTTCTTAAAAACCTATACTTACATACTATACTTTAGTTTACATAATTTCAAAGAAGAATCTTTCCCTAACTTTCATAAAATGCTAACCTGTCATGTTTCAATTTATGTCCGTGTTTTCTGTGTCTGCTATTTGTCGGAGATTGTCGCCTATGATGGGATGATTTTTTATCAGGGGATCTTGATCGACGCCTGTAGCGATCATTTTCTGCAGAGTCATGCCGGATAGGAGATTGAGAAAGTGAGCCGTCTTTTCTGTGCCTATTTAAAACAAGTAGATATTAACAGATGATCTACTGTAACATGATATGCTATTATTTACAGCAACAAACTACCTTTTACAATGGCAATATTCATTTTTCTACACATTTTAAGGCTATGTAAACCACTTGCCTATTTAAACAAATATTTACCTTCTCACATCAGCAATTAAAACAATAAAACATTTGTGTTAAATTATCATTGTGATTAATAAATGTTTTTTTATACATTGTAGCGCACCTATCCCAAGTTCTATTTACTTTAGTGTCACATATAGTACACAGAAGATGATTCCATATGTCTAAGTTGTAACCAACAGAGATCAGAACGGCCCTGGATGAAAGCCGCGGGATATATTTCTACATACTGGTAGAATAGCGCTAAGCGCTATATTGCGCACCGCACGTGCTAAGCACTTTCGGAAGGTCTAGGAGTCCTCCCCCAGAAATTCTTTTAAATTAGATGCTTGCAGACGCGTTCCGATGCACAGAAATTTCAAAAACTAGCTTGTTCATGAACGCCGACATTGCGCGCACATAGCTCAACATTGTCGCACAGTGCGCGAATGAATAGTACATTTGTCAGCCACGGGATGGCGATCTCAGACAGTAAAAAGGCATCACCAGCTGCAGGACATTTTCCCACTGTCTGTGGGTGGCAGTACCCCCCCCCTACAGTTTTCTCAACGGATTTGAACAATTTCGAAAATTATCAGTGGAAAACGCAGGAAACCGCACATCCGCGGGAGATTCTCATCTCTGAACCAAGCCAATCACAACTACTATAATTGTCCCTTTTCTTACACAGTTTCTTGGATTTCTGCTGCAATTGTACCATCTTCTTTCTTCACGGGAGTAGATACTATTAAGTGATTATAGTGGTGGAAAATTACTGTTAAAAGATGCTGCATCCGGATGCTATTCTCGCGATGCGGCATAAAACTGGTCACACACAGACTGTTATCATTTTTAGTACTCTCTAATATGTAATTGCTTAGCTCACCCTTTATGTTCAGATTTATGTCCGTGTTTCCTGTGTCTGCTATTTGTCGGAGACTGTCGACTATGATGGGACGATTTTTTATCGGGGGATCTTGATCGACGCCTGCTCCTGTAACGATAATATTCTACAGAGCCATGCCTGATAGTGATAGGAGATTGGGAACCTGAGCTATCACTTTTCTGCCTAACATTAGAGAAACAATTATTGTTCCTTAGGAAACAAATGTACAAATTTATACATTAATTTTTTACAGATATTCCCTATTGTGCCGATAAAAGACAAAGAACAGTCATACAACATCCAATCTAGAAGCTATAAATCTATCATAAATGTATAAACATAAATGCAATTCAACTAGGCCGACTAGGCGATTATTTAGGTAGTGACTGTGGTAATTTCGAGTTGTCCGTCATGCAACCTGTTCATGATGACAGATTTTAATGCATAATTTTTCAAGATTCCCAAAGTAGCCCTTTGGATCAGAATTCAATATTTTCCAATGATGAAACTAGGTGTGACATAATTATAAACATATATATTGCACATCTCATCACAGCTAACCTTTGTTGTGTTGACTTCTCGGATGCTTTCCTGGTCCAGGAGTGACTGTCGTTACTGTCTGGTTGAACCATATCCAGTTAAGTGGGAAATTTTGTAATGTGTCCCTGCAAAGATAGCCGACTCAAAATATATCATCAAACATAAAAACAGCAAGCAGTGACATAGCTTAATTACTTGAGAGGATGTCTTATTTAAATTTGGAATTCCAAGTTTCTGTCTGCAAGGCACCACAGTATTAGGGAGAGGTCTCACGCTGTGTGTCCGTTCCCCGGCACGTAACTATATATAAATAAATAAATATATATATATATATCAAGAGTAGATAATAACATGAAAGTGTCAATGACACTGTAGCTCACCACAAATAACGTTTTTATAATATTCAGATTTATGAACTGCCTATAAAAGCGGAGCTCCTGATGTGTAACGTGTAAGATTGAGAGGATACGCTTATTCCACGTAGCTGCTATATACCACGTGACAATGGTGTTTCCCAGATAACAATTACGCATGTTTTTAATCTTGTTTTGCTTGCATGACTACGGCAGTACGGCTATGTCTGCCCGTAACACAACTTTTGTCAAAGGTTAATTGGTTGCATGGAAGTGTTTACTTTGTATGAGTTTTTCTAGGCGGTAGCACACGGTTGCCATCTGTATATCGCAATAATAATTTATAAACCAAAATGAATCACAATTTGTGACGGTAGATGGCGCTATACCCGCTTTGTAGCAATGGCATTTGAAATAAATAGATTATGCTGCGTTCCGACATGTTTTGTAAAACTTTACTCTAATATAGACATTTTATCGGCAAGCTGGAGAGAAAATACCAATATTGCATTAAAGATATTGTCAATTAAATCTTGTAAAACGAACCAGACGAGTGTGACACCACAGACTGTTTGTGTTTATATAATATGCTATATAATTGCCAAACCTTACATAATTTGCATAATTTTTTTTTAAATATCAAAACCCCTAGCCCTTATTCATTCACATACCAAAAATGAGCAAAATCCGTAGAACCTGAACTGACTAATAGCAATTCCCATTTTTGCCAAAAAATTGCCGTGGCTCGAAAGTACGTCGACTGGCGTGCTCCAAAATAGGACGTTCCATATGGGAGCATAGCAGTAACAACTACACCCAATCTCAAACATGTGGGTCAAACGGTTCCTGAGTTATCGTTGACCGAAACCAAATGTTGACGGACGGACGGACGACGGACGACGACCCATGGCAATAGCTCAGCTTGACGATGTCAAGGTGAGCTAACAAGAGTGAGACACCCGATGCCCGCATTTTTAACCAATTTTTCTCCTCAAAATTTGCCACCAATAAAGAAGCAAGTGTATACGTTCCTCAGCTTATTATGACCACTAATCACTCACCTTCGTGGTACTGATATTCGTTTACATATATTTGCTAGCGCATTGCCGTATATCGTAATCTTCCACGAGCTGAATTTGCACAATTTACCGCCATTGTGTAGACATATCTAGACAAAATATGAAGCTATATAGTGGCGCCAATATTTAGCAACGGACTGTTTCCAAATCATTCGTTCCCCGATAGGGTTGAGAGACAAATCTAAATTTCGAATTTTGATCACGTGAGAAACCGCGAGACACGCTGAGTTATTGTGATCGCAACACAAGAAATTGACATACTATCTTACATAAGTAATAATACAATAATAACAATATTCTCTGTAGTAGTTTGCAGTAAGTATCACATTACGCACGCGCAGGTAATCAAGTACATTAAACCCCTATCGGGGCACAAATGATTTGGAAACCGTCCGTTGCTAAATATTGGCGCAACTATAACTTCATATTTTGTCTAGATATGTCTACACAATGGCGGTAAATTGTGCGAATTCAGCTCGTGCAAGATTACGATTTACAGCAATACGCTAGCAATTATATGTAAACGAATATCAGTACCACAAAGGTGAGTGATTAGTGGTCATAATAAGCTGAGGAACGTATACACTTGCTTCTTTATTGGTGGCAAAGTTTGATGAAAAAAATTGGTTAAAAATACGGGAATCGAGTGTCTCACTCTTGTGTTATTATCTACTCTTGATATATATATATACTAGGCAGCATCCATGCACATTCATATATTTCAAAATGTTACACTTTAGCTGAAATTTTCACATGACAAATATACCCAATCTTTCAAATATAAAGGAGTAATTTCAACAGATAGTGCCCCCTTTTCTATGAAACAAGGATATGTTTATTATATATCCCATGTTAAAAAAAAGCAGGGCTGACTGAAGCTGAGAGGGTCTAGATGTCCCCCAGGGTACTGCCGGAATGTACCCTCGACCCTGGGTACGGTCCGGTATACCGGAACGTACCCTGGTACAATCTAATATGCCGGACCGTACCTCGCCTACTCCACTAACGAGTCTAAAGAGTCGCCTACGCCTACTCCCTAACCCTAATCCTAATCCTATTCATAACCTTAACCCTAACCCTAACCATATCAAATAGTTACCAGGGTACGTTCCGGTATACCGGACCGTACCCAGGGTACGTTCCGGCAGTACCCTGGAGGACATAGACCCTATGAGCCTGACTGAAGGCATTAAAAATCTTTGAACAGTCAAATTCATCAGGAACCTCAAACGGCTGGCATAATTAATGTTCAGGCAACACAAATTCAGGGGGAAAAAGAACTTGGAAATAGAGATGGACTGCAGGGCGCAAATCCACTTTAGGCACATTAGGTATCAAAAAGTGATGCACAGATTTCTGTGTATCATCAACTGATGCACAGACTTTCTGTATATCAAGGAATGATGCAAAAACCCTAACTCTAACTCTAAGTCTGGTCATAAAGTATAACCTTAGGCATCACGAAGTGTGTTAGGGTTAGGGTTTTTGCATCATTCCTTGATATACAGAAAGTCTGTGCATCAGTTGATGATACACAGAAATCTGTGCATCACTTTGTGCTAAGGTGCCTAAAGTGGACTTGCACCAGACTGCAGTTCACTGTAGGACCATGGAATCAACCTCATACCAATACAAGTTTATGTTGCCAGCTAGGGTGATTTTTTTTATTTTTTACTGTGACATGCAGGGTTTAAGATGAACAAAAAATTGTTAGCAATTATGATAATTTGGTCTGCAAATGTTTATTACCAAATTCCTCTCTGAAATTAAATTCAATCGTGCTGGAATTAGTGTTTTCATACAGCAAGCACACAGGATTTCGATATCTACTACTAGTAGTAGTACTACTACTACTCTACTACTAGTAGTAGTACTACCGTACTACTAGTAGTAGTAGCTAGTACTAATAGCTCAAGTACTATAGCCCGCGTACATTGACTGCCGCAGGGCTATAGCACATTGTCGGCTGGAAATACCAACTGCAACCTGTCACCACCTGTCCCCACGAAAAATGGATCGCAAAACGCAAAATTATCGGGCTTTTTAACACTTATCTATCTACGTGGACATCTCACCTATCTTTTTGAACACTTTACACAACTTTACACCATGTATTTATCCTTTTATTCTACAAAGTAAGCACTACTGGAAATTCCCGTTTGAAATTCTGGCGTGCGTACGCGTGACATCACTGGTATTGTATAATATACGTGCTATATAGCGGCAGCCGATCTGTAGGCACAAACACATGGCATGTGTAGTACAATACCCGTGACGTCAGGTCGTACGCACGGCCGAGAATTTAAAGCGGAATTTCCAGTAGTGCTTACTTTGTGAATAAAAGGATAAATAGCATGGTGTAAAAGTTGTGTAAACGTGTTCAAAATATAGTGAGATGTCCAAGTAGATAATAAGTGTTAAAGCCCGATAATTTTGCGTTTGCAATCTATTTTTGGCAAAAGTGGTCATGTGTACGGTAGCCGTATCTTAATGTTTGCTCGGGCCTCCGGTTACGGGAGTCATTCGCTTTCACTTAAGAGACAAAGATGGGGCGCCGTGGCGCCAGGAATTGCCCGAAATAATCCCTTGGGTAAATAAATTCACGGATTGAAGAGTTTAGATAGCTAGAACCGCTAACGGCCTAACCCAACCTAACCTCTAAGCAATAACGCACTAGAAACCTAACCCTAAACCGCTAACGCCAAAAGAGGCTTCATAGACGGCCGAGCGCTTACCGGTACCCCCAGCCAACTGCGCATCCAATTTTCGTGGGACGCAGGTGGTGACAGGTTGCAGTTGGTATGTCCCAGGCCGACAATGTGCATATAGCCCTGCCGGGCAGTCATGTACGCGGCTATAGTACTACTAGTAGCTATGTAAGAGTACTGGTCACGCAAGGGTGCCGTGTCGTAACAGGTACACGATACTGTACCAAGCGTAGTTTTCAGGTTGTTTAGTATTATGTTTATTAATTTTTATATGAGGTATGTTTAGGCGTTAGGGTTAGGGTTAGAGTTAGGGCTTAGGGTTTAGATTTAGGTTATGTTAGGGTTAGGGTAACACTTCTGTAAGTACAAGTTATATATAGACATGGTCCGTGTGTGTGCTGTAGCTGCAGCTGGAGTTGGTTCTATGCTGCCAGTGGCTACAGACTAGTAGCAGAGTACAATCGTCACAGACAGCTCCAGTACAGGACTTCACCGTACGATCAGGATATCCCCACGTCTCGCAGATGCCGTGTCCCCCTCTATCTGTCTCTGGCAAATTGGTCTCCTTTCTTGGTTTACTTCCACATGGGCAGGTGTATGAACTTGTTATACACTAAAAACACTTATTCACAATGTTGTTGTTCTCAGATTTGGAATGTAACGCACAAACATCGTCTATTAGACGATTACCTCGTTTGCAGCGCCCTCATCCGGTACAAAATATAGTTCCCCGCAGCTTACTAGATGGATATAATATATATATTTATATTGATAGACTCCTGTTTATATATATATACTAGTTAGTCTAGAACGTGGATTCGCAATCCTCCTGCACAGAAAAATTACACCAGCTAGGGCAAGCTAAGTACATATCTTATATATTTTATCATGAATGAACATGGCATAGTGCTGCCAAAATTCTTTCATAAAAAGTGATGATAGATGACGCTTTTTGAAGGAGCATTTTAGAGATTAGGGATAATACTCTGATACTACTTTTAAAATAACAAAAAATAATAATGGAAAACAATGCCTACACAGTACAATACATTACAGTACAGTATCATGTGACTATGGATTATATGATTTTAATGAATCTTAGCCAAACAGTTGAGAAATTTTACATAGGCCCATAAATAATTCTGTGTAGAGATGTTATTGTTAAGCCACCACAAACAAACCGTGCACCCACTCGTTACAAGTAAACGAGAAGCCAAGTTATGACCTCAAACTGAATGTATGTATGTATGACTGTAACCGTTAGGTCGGTATTTCCCTGCAAAGAATTTAAAAAAAAAGAGAAAATTCATTCCGTTTCCCTGATCCGTGACCTGTGTTTGTGAGTGCAGCTGATCTAGCTCCCCAAAGTATCTCCAGGTACTGTGTAGTAAGCTGAACTATACTTATCAACACAAACTTAGCAATTACCTAGATACTCTTATGGTCTAAGTTTAGGCATCCTCAATAATCCCGAAGTCGCACACGTCCAACCTTTATACCAACACGGTAGAGTTCCAGTCCCTCCTACCACACTGTCATTCCGACGTTTTACTGCCTTGTCTCCAAAACCTGGTTCAGTACGTTTAATCCAAATTAAAAAACTTTATTCTATGGTTTCATATCCCCAGGACATTCCAGTAAACAGTAGTCTCATGTGTCTCCAACTCTCTTCTCCGCACAAATTAAACATTTCTTCGGCCTCGCCTCAGTGTCTAGTCGTTTATTCAATGGCGAAGCCCGTCCCTGGCATTGAAAGAGGCAGGTACTCCGCAAGACTATTATCATAAAAGGACTCTTTACCAGGCATGCTTTTTTTGCCGTATAGCAATAGCTAATCGAACTCTTGTTTTCTATCCCTTTTTTCCAGACGGGTATACCTACTCTGTTAATTCTCTTGTCCACTTCTAAGGACGGGATTCTGTTCCCGTCNTGGTGTTATATTGGTGGCTCTCTTCCATCCGCGCGGCGGCAGGCTGATCAGACCCTCCGGGATATTAGTCAAATTTGCGCTGCTACGGTGGAGAATGCTAGGGTAGAGAAGGCTACGGGTGGGAGAGCTAGGTGTAGGGCTACGCTTCTTACCACCTGCCGCTTCCCTATCACACTCTCCTAGACATTCATTTCTTTAATTCCCCCTCCCCCGTGGGTAACTCTTCGGTCTTATGAGTTCGCTGATCGAGTCAATCTTTGTTATGAGGAACCTTTAGTTCTGCCTCCTCGCTGTCTGCTTCTGAATTCGGGACCGACATTCAGTTGTGTCCATTGTTTTACATTTTACGTTCATTGTTACTCATCTATTTTATGTTTCATCACAATGTTTCAGCTGACGTCGATAGATCATTTTTGTTCATTCGTGGCGCGTGTATTTGTATAGTGTGTTGTGGTTGCGAAGGCAATTAGTTGTTCTTCTGCTGACATTTGACAGATGAGATGGCGACCACATGATTCTGATATAAAGCATGCTTTATTGTAGTGCACGTAGCACGTGGTCGTTGCTGCGGCGTGCGTCGCGGTGTTCACGTACACGCTTGCGGTGCGATGGCGTGCGTAGTGAAACTTACGACGTGCTGTGCGCGAGCAGTGAGATGTGCGCGTTCCCTGACTGAGCTGCGATGAGCTGTGCTCGCGGCTGTGGTATCCGTTGGCGTCAGGGAATGGGGGCAGCAGCGCGGTGGTATCATGCGTCTGTTCGAAGCTGTGTATCCTTGTGCGTGAGACTTTCGTGACCGAGTCCTCGCTCCACCCTTACATGCCGTCAGCTAGCAGTGGTGATAAGCCGCAGCGAGCTTAGAGAGCAGTTGGGCGAGGGTGGCGAGCTTTTGCCGCTGACTGAGCCAGCGTGGCTCTGTGTTTGCTTTGGAGCTGAGCGCCGCAGGCTTATATACAGCCGTGGCGACACCACGTGGTCACAGTCAGGTGTGTGACACCCACGTGTTGACCTGCAGGTGTTCCCGATCCAATTAAATACTATAGCGTCGTTTTTTAGTGGGGCATGTTCCTTTTCAATCCGCCGCGTAGCACCACGTGGCTTACGAAGCCGTACGTCTTCAGGTTGAAGTATAATGCTTGGAGACGCATGCTATTACGTGTATGTTGTTACAGCGGGTCGGCGGTGTGCTTGCTATAGCTCCCAAATCCCATGAGGTGTGCGCGTGTGCACGCTACACGTGCGTGCGTCCGCTGTTGTGTGCCACGTACACGTGGCGCTGTACAACCGTCGCGCGCGCGCGTGTGCACTGTGCATGTATACGTGCGTGCGTGCACGTACACCGTCTTCGGCGTGCATGAGTTGTGTGCGTGCGTAGCGTTACATGTGTGTGCAGTGCGTGCGTTGTGAACTTACACTTGCGTGCATGCGTGCGTGCGTCCGTGTGTGTGGCAACGTACACGTGCCGGTTGTGCCGTGCGTGTGCAGGTGACGTGTGTGCATGTGTTGCGTGCAGTATATCAAGGGCCCGTTGCGTGGCGTGCGCTTGTATCTAACATATACGCATCTGCTTGCTTACCCAACCGTTAAACACCGCATGTGCCCGCTATATGACGCATATAGGCGCAAATTACAGCTGTTTGCCTGGGCAAGCTTCCAAATCCCATTGGTTGATCCCACACACACTCACGTCACTCCACACTCCTGTTTTTATGGTGCATTGATAATCCTCAACCCTAAACCTAACTCCTTATTGTTATTAAATTGTTTGGTAATAAATCATGTTAACATATGGACTAAACATAGAAAAAATACAGATAAACAGGAAAAAATGAAAAAACAGATGAGATTCGCCATCCAACGTCACATTTCAGCCGTTGTCGTTCTGCTCTTAGGCGTTCAGCTATAGACATTGGGTTTTGGCAGCGCGGCTTGTGTTGGATCTGCCCTTGGACATACACTTGCGGCGTCATTGAGGAGCTTTGATGCATCGTGATTGTGTATCAACAATGGGAATTCCGAGGGGCCAAGTCACCCAGTAATACATCTGTGAGTGGGCATGCGGGGGTTGGGCGTAGTCTATTGAGTCGTAATAGTGTTATGTTCAGTTTTTATTATACCGTTTTTCGTGCACCTCTTAGATGCCAACAATTTTTCAACGATTGTTACAATGAGCATCGCCTTAACCAAGCAAAACTGCTGTGTCAGTCGCTCACTGTTGCCACGAATTCAGGAATTAGCGAATTCCCAGGGAATTCCATAATGTAATTCCCTGTTTTTGTATTTAAGATGGCCAATAGAGGACGCGATGCCGCTGCAAATCATGAAACTTGAAACCTGCTCAGGTTTCTCTACAAGGACGGGCCCGGTTGGGGGCCGGGAGTGTGTGGGTGGCCACTACTCAAGCCTCACACAATTTTACTACTACAGCAGAAATGTTATGCAAAAAGTACGACTAAATAACGCACATATTTTAAACCGATAAGATTGATGCCCAATCATTTACCCTATCTTTAAATTTCCTCGTGGCATTAAAACAAATTGAAATGCCAGATACCATTATAATTGGAAAGTAATGAATATCAACAATAAACTATGATGAAATAAATATTTAACAAAGTAAAGAGCATATAAACTATGGATGGAAAAAGAGCGAGGTCCATTCTTAGCTTCCCAGGTGAAAATGTGCAATTCTTCAGCTCCCAGATTTCCCATGTTCCGATTTATTATATTTCCAAATTACAAAAAAATTAATCTGGTATTAGTTCGCATGTGCAATGATTCTGTAATCTACTGTATTGCCTCCCCGTTCCCCAATCCGACATATAAAAGGTTTACAAAAAATGGTCATAAAACAGGAACCACAATGGATAATTTAAGAGCGTTTATTATTTACATGCCAATGCCTAAGGCACTATGATGAAACCGTAAACTGAAACTTATAATAGTGTCATAGCATTTCATCAGAACAGCTTGAAAAGAAAATACCATGTGTGTAATATTATCCTACTATAACGGTTATTCCTAACTTTACTATTGGTAGGCATGATCTATGATATGCCACAATAAAAAAGACATTCATCATGGTGTCTTTTAATTTTGACTCATTGATGTTAACATCAACAATGCTGGGCTGAAATCCTTGGCAGGTACTGCAGGAAAATACTATGGGCATTGTTCCTTGACTAGCTGTTATACTATAAGCCTCTACACAGCATGTCCAGTTGAAGGGGGTTGAAGCCACTAAGATGCATCAGCTCTTTCTTGCCACCGTCTGTCTTAGCTACATAATGAATACAAAAAAATGCAATGTAAACCTTGCCATAAGTGGTATCTGGTCATCAGGTGCATTCGAAAACCCATTTTTACCCCAGTTGGAAACAAAGACAATCAAGTTATAAATAAGAGTTTGCATTTTTTTTTATATCAGTTGTGTTTCATCACACTTGCAGCAAATTATACTGAAAACCATTTGTGATATCAAACATTTGTTTTAGTATTGAAAGTTGAAACTATAATCATTAATATGCTGATGTTTGCTAAAAACGTGACTTTTTTTACAATATTTTTTAGCTTATAACAAACCGAATTTGCTGTAGACAACACGTTGAATCCCCCCAAATAATTTTCTATTGCGGTAAGGTTAACCGTGTTTAATCGCTCATAGTAGGCAGCGAGTGTCTTAGTAGACCAGTGTAAACCATTAAGTCTTTTACCATTTTCATTCTGAATCCAGTGTCGGTCGATGTAATAATTGATGCAGGTTAAAGCCTCTTTCTCACTGTAGCCATCAACCAGTACTGGTAAAAATGGATCAAAGAGTTCGAATCCCTGCAATGTCAATGTATCAAAGGTTTTACTAAGAAATTTAGTAAAATATATTTGCATTAAATTTTATGGTAAAGCATGTTGGTTTTAGAATAAATTTATAGATTTAATTATAATAAACTCTACTATAAAGCATATAATGGTTTTGGAAAAGAATTTGTAAGTGTCATTTAAATAACTTTTGCTGTAACTCATGTGTCATAAAATATATTTGCACTTTTAGTTTTTCAACCTATACTGCAGCAGCTCAGGTAAGGAATATATAACAAGTGTCTGTTCGCTGAGCGCGGATCTTGCGCGCAGTTCCGCGGCAAGGCGCACGCGACCGCGGGAACGTCCTACGAAAGTATCATGCGCTGGCAGCTATTGATCCGTGCGCCAAATCGAAAGGCCGGTGCACGGATCAATTGCTGCCTCGAATTTTAGCGGGTCTAATTCACTAGCAAACATATGCACACATGCACGTCATATAACGTCAATGTTTATAAACATGTGTAACGAACTTGCCTTTTCGCCGACAAGACGTTATCCCGGGCCCTGATGTTATTCCTTGACAGGAACGACCACTGGACTAACGGAATCCACACGCAACTCATAAGACGCAACGACAACGTAACGGTGTTTACACCGGGTATGCCGGGGCTTTTATTACACACCGTTGACCATCAGGCCAGCGGCAGATAAAACACACCCCGTGACCATACGTTAATTTGTGCTGAAGGCCCGAATACAGTAGTGAGCAGTGCTTAGCTAGTCGGCTACACCCTACATGATCAGCTAGCAGGGCGGGCAAGCCACCAGCAGCTAGAGATCAGTGGGAGGTTGAAAGCTTCATTGCTAATGCTCACCAAGCGGCGTGACTGAGCCAAGCTGGCTCTGTGTTGCTTTGGAGCTGGACGCCGCAGCTTATATACAGCCGTGGGACACCACGTGGTCCCAGTCATGTGACACACATGTGTGACCTGCAGGTGTCCCGTCCTATTAAACTATAGGTCAAGTGGTGCAGCATAGCTTTCCTTTCCAATTCGCTGCTAGCCCACGTGGCTACGAAGCCGTACGTCTTCAAGGTTGAAGTAATGCTGACGCATGCTATAGTGTATGTTGTACGGCGGGTCGAATTCGCTACACATGAAACATTGCTATTGCATGAGAATCACTGAAGAACTGCTCCGTCAATCACGCGAAACGCCAGAGAAATTCAACGACGGCGAAATATACAGCTGTGTTACACACACGCAGCTAGGTCCTGCATAGCTCCCAAATCCCATTGGTTGATACAAATCACGTAGCTCAAACTCCTGTTTTATGGTGCATTGTGACCCTAACACTAACCCTAACCCTATAAACCAAAAAAAAAAATTTGTTGTTATTAAATTGTTGTAAATAAATTATGTAAATATGGATAAACATAGAAAAATACAGAAAACAGGAAAATAATGAAAAAACAGATGGGATTCGCCCCAACGACATTTCAGCCGTGTCGTCTCTGCCATAGGTGTTCAGCTATTGAGGAATTTGGTT